GCGTTTTCGATTAGTGTGGCTCTTTTAAAGAACACATTAACCGCACTAATCAAGGGATTCCTGTACTGCAAGTGAGGCCTAATAAGTGACCTATACAATGAAATTATAAGCTCTTTTGACTTACAATCAATATTTTTTATAGATATTGAGTTCTATTTGCTCTACTACAAGTAACAGCACACTGCTTTGGTGGTTTAAGGGTCTGATCAGCCAAAAACTAAAATCCTTTTCTTCCATAACATTCATACTTATAATTAAAATATTATGTCTGTTTCATTTCATTCTTAAATTTAATGTAAATATTATGATTTAGATTTTTTACATAGCATGAGTGTTAAATTTAGTTTTTTTAGAAGCACTAGTTTATTGTTAATTTGTTTACATAACTGTTCACAAATTATTCGTTGTGTAGTTCAACTATTGTGAATTTACATCATGTTACTCAAACCTGAAGTTTTCTTGTTGCTTTAAGTAAGTATTGTTGCATCATATATTTAGTAGTATGTTAGTTAGTTAGTAGTAGAAAGTTAGTTATATAAAAGTAAGACAAAGTTAGTGAGAAATACAGTCAAACAGATGTACACTTTGTGTTTATAAGTTTATCCATAAGAGCATACAGTGTTGATTTCTAAATTGAAATCATCATAAATTGTATTGTAACAACAGAATAGACAAGAATAACTTGTCTTGTCAATTGTGTTCAAAGGTAATTGAACAAACCCTTGCGGACAAAAAGAGAAATTTATCTTAAGCTCTAGATGCAACTGTGATAACCAACAGTGTAACAAACGTTTGTATAAAAGTTTGACTTGTTTTAATATATTGTTTTAAAACAAATGGACTGTGTTTCATTTGTTTATTGTTGAAAGTTATCACCAACAAGTCACCGACACCTACTGTAAAGAATCCTGCCCACATACAAAATTAAAAAACTGAAAATAGTAACCCACATGCATTAACTTGCATCTATTATAATTAAAAGCCATCTGACTTTTATTGCCAAACTCAGCAGATAATCTAAATCCTTTTGTAAAGGAACAGAATTATTCTCACAGCCAGCAACACCCAAGTCCTTAATATCATCAGCAAATTTAAGCAAGTTATTGGCCATTCCTTCATCAGTTCATTGTTTCAAATCAAAAAGAGCAAAGGTTTCAACACTGAGCCCTGAAGTACCCCACTTGTAACATTAATCTAATTTGACTGAACTCCATTTATAAAAACCCTCCTCTTTCTTCTGTCCAGCTATTTTTTGACACAATAAGTCAACTTCCCCCCCCCCCCACCTCCTCTCATATCTATAGAAATAATTTTTCGACAAGCCTTACAGGTGGCACCTTATTAAATGCTTTCTGAAAATCCAGATACACCAAATCCACACGTGTACCTTAATCTACATAAGAAGTAACCTCTTCTATTAATGTCAAAAAAGTTAGTAAGGTTTCCCTCAGTGAAACCATGCTGACTGCCAAACAAAATTTGAAACTTTTTTAAATGGCTTTACAAAGCATCTTTTATCATACTTTCAAAACGTTTCCCACTATTGATGTAAGACTAATAGGCCTATAATTACTGGGACAATTTTTATCACCACCCTTGAAAAGAGGAGTAATATTAGCTAACTTTCAATCTTCTGGCATTGTTCCTAGTAGGTTTCCTAACTAATAGGGGAAGAACACCATCCTGAATAATTTCTAATAACCTGCCTCCCTCGTGGATTGACTAACATTTCCAAATCTATGTGCCCGAAAATAAACTATGCCCTAATTACGAAGCTCATTAACAGCTAAAACCTTAATCTAACTAAACAGTTTCTCTTTACTTATCAGTTTTATTTGGTAGTCTATAACAAATTCCAACCAAAACCAACATTCCCTCTAATTTCTCTTTTATTGTAAATGGACTACAAACTCCTCTAAACACTACTTTTCTGTCCAAAAATCACTACATAAGTAGCCAAATCTTCCAAGAAGAACTTTTATTTACAACTAAATGTTGAATTATTTTCACTTGCATGAATTCAGGTTTGAATAAAAGCATTTAAACTAAATAATGCTATAAAGTCTTACAATGGATAATTCCTATAAGCTTGTAACATTGACTGAGTGGCTACTTAAGTAGGAATTTTTGTATGTTTTGTGTGTTCATCCCTACCGTATTTCTGTACTTTTTGGCATTGCCATCCCCACATCATAGTTAATTTCTGCAAAATTTGTTTTTATTACTTGTGTTCCTTTTTTTAAATACCTTTATCAACTCTTTATACTTATCAATTAGCTCCTCTGACCAATCCTTCCTTACAACATTAGGTCCTACATGCACAACAAATATGGCATCACTATATCACTTGCTCTTTCAGTTATATCCTCAATTTAGCAAAAAGAAATCAGAGAGTTTTATCCTAGTGATCATCCAGGTAATCTTGTAGATTTTAATTAGGTCACATAATACTCTTCTTTTCTCAAAAAATTAAAGATCTTAACCTATTCCTATAAGATAGCCCTTCCATCCCCCAGAACATTCCTCCTCTCCTCTGAAAACTTTCATTAATGAGTTAGTATGTTTTCTAAAATAAGGAGATCAAACTATACACATTATCCCAATTTGAACGTAACTAGTAATTTGTATAATAACCTTTTTAACTTTTAATAGTATGTCTAAAATATTTGCTCCCTAAAATTTTAATAACTTTACTAAGTTTTTAGTCCACTTCATAATCAATGATTGAAGTTAAGGTTCTGTTCTTTCTTTATATTTTCACAATTGAAGATACAGTGGTCACATCTTCCGGTTAAGAGTTGGTTTTTTACCTAAGAATGTCAAATCATGTAAAATTTTTGTTGATGATTCTAAAATATATAATTCAGTAAGAACTAAAGATCAGGTTGAACAATTAAGGTCCAATCTCAAGATATTAACAAATTAGTCAAAGGAGTGGATGTTGGATTTTAATATTGAAAAGTGTAAGGTTATGCATTTGGGAATAAGTAATACCAAGCAAGATTATTTCATGAATGGGGTTAAGCTAACTGTTACAGATACTGAAAAAGATTTAGGGATATTATATTCTTCAGACTTGAAAGTCCAGTGCCATATTTCAGAAGTTACTAGAAAGGCCAACCAAACTCTTGGAATCATAAGATTTTCCTTCGAGTTTCTGGATGCTGAGACATTTTTGATATTATATAAGACCTATGTAAGACCACATTTGGAGTATGCTGTACAAGCTTGGTCACCATCCCTAAAAAAAGATATTGATGTCTTGGAAAGAGTGCAAAGAAGAGCCACAAAACTGGTTCCTGAGGTAAAGGATAAAGCATATGAAGAGATTAAATCTAATTACACTGAAGAAGAGTAGGCATGGGGGAGATATAATAGAGACCTTTAAGATTATCAAGGGATTTGAAAATATAAATGCTAAAAAATTATTTATAATGAATCCAAGGGACCCAGCAAAAATATACAAAAAACATTGTAATAAGAAAATAAGAAATTTCTATACACAAAGAGTAGTAAACAAATGGAATGAAATAGTCAATCATGATAGAGATATTCTGGAAGCAATGTTGGTGAATGCTTTTAAGAACAAATATGATAAATATAAAGACTGTCAATCTCAAGCATCAAACTGTTAAAAAAAAAGAAGTAAAAATTGTGATAAACTTCAAACTGCTATTTGTGGAGAGGCGGGTAAAAAGCACTAATAACTGCACTTAAGCTCACTTATTATTGCTGTGAACTATTGCGAAACTTAGTTTAATGCCATAAGATTCTAGCATTCTAAGGTGGAATTATTCCTGGAAATGGAGAATGATGGCAAAGTAACTGAAGGTATACACAACATCATGTTCTACTAGACAGCAGTTGGTAATACTACTGGTTTTGTTGGTTTAGCATTAGTTATTTTATTCAAATTTGGAGCCTTATAGTGATTGTGCTAATAAATCCCTGGTTGCAAATTGGGCTCTGTATTTACACTTTTACAGGAAGAATTCCATCTTAGAATAGAATGCTACAATCTCTTGCCACTAAGCTAAGAAAACTAGCTCTTAATCTAAATAAGAGTACAATGCCACACATCTTCAATTGTGAAAACACAAAGAAAGAAGACGAATTTTGATCATTAACTTAGCACTAGAAACAGATTACTGCCTCGATGGATTGCAACTCATCCCCCACTGTCCCAAATTCTTTTCCTTTAGTCACTTCATTGTTCACATCTCATTCATCTGTAGATTGTACTACATGTATGAGCCAAATTATAACACAAATGTTCTTATTACCCTAAATTTCCTATTTCATTTTCACTTTTCAGTAATTTTCCAGCATGGCAATACTCTGTATTTTAAAATGCATCAGAAAAATGGATCTTCGTAATGAAACTTAATAATTGGTTTGAAATGAAATATTCAATTACACAAGTTTTCATGTAATTGTAAGTTGTATGATTGCATTATATTTTTACCGAGAGAAATGCGCGAAAACATTTTTCCTGAGGTACTACACTTTTTGAAGTTTTTCATCTTCGACCTTTGCGACTAGTGTTAACGAAAATGACTGGTGCTTAACCTTTTAAAAAAACCAATGTGTGTAATCTTCATTGACAATAACTTTATGAAGCACACCCGACTCTGATGCAAGACTGTGTAAGAGTAACAATACCATCCTTGAATCAACATTACAATATAATTAATTATAAGTCAAGCGCCTAGGCTACATATATATATAGATATAAGCTTACAATTATTACATATACAAGTTCAATATTTAACCAGAGTCATACTGATAGAAATTTTAATGTTTATTTTTATTAGCCCGAATACCAGGATAAGTGTTCATTTTACACTAATTTACATTTACTGATTTAGTAATTTACTGTTGTGGTATCCCGATAGCTGGCCTATGTATATATAGTAAAGTATAAATTACAATTTTGATCAAAATGTGGAGTATACTATTTATTTTATCATAAATTCCAGTTAAACGTTACGTCTAACTACCTGTTCATCGACGTTATAATTTCTTTTATTACTCTTTCTCGACATTTTCTAATAATCAATTCTACTCTTACTAACTCCTGAATATTGCTTTTTTCATATATTAAAAATAAATACAGCGACTGTTCCAGGTTTCATTTGATATGCCTATGTAAACACTAGATGGCATTAACCATAATATTTTTTTTCACAAATTTACGCAATCAAATTCAAAGTTGCTTAATAGTTTTTAAAAAATTTTATACACATATATATAACATTGCATGAGCCTATTGGGTCATCTATTTGCGGAAGTTAGTAAAAAAAGCATATATTTCTCAAATGACAAAAACAAACAAGTATTTTTACTCCTGCATATGTATTTATATTTAAAAGCATACCACATTAATTACATTGAATAGATGGTACTATTTCTTCCATTCCGAAATTCGAATCGTTAACGAGCGAAAACTGAACAAAGTATTATTCATGAAATAAATGCTGGTTGTCTCTTATTTTGTTCAATTGAAACATATTTGAAAAGTTTAATACATAACATTCTAACTTTTTATGTATTTACTATTAATTATATTTGTCGTAAGACATAACCACTAAGCCTATTAGATTTTATACACTACATTTTATTAAAACCCTTAAAGTTTTTCATGAAGAAAAAAAAGTATATAATAGTACTTCAACGACACACTGTTTGCCATATCCAATGCCGATTACTGTGTTTCGCTTAATATTTGTTGTAACAAATGGTTTATATAATTAGTGTTTGGGGGCACTAGCGGTTTTTTTCTTTTCTTTTCTTTTTTCTTTTTTTTTTTTTTTTGTGGAGTGGGTGTGTTTGTGTGTGTTAAAAACTGAATAATGGCCAATGACACCTTTTATTCATTTCACCTATCCATTGTATAACTTTTTCTCATAGTGGCTATAAAGCACCTCACAGCAACAATGTATTTAATACTTTTCACTACGGTATAAGTCCAGCTTACCTTTCTTTGGTTATCTTGTGTACAGTGTTACTGATGAGGAGTGGAATTCTCCGAAAATAGTATAACCCAGTAACACACCTTGATCAAATTATAGATTTAACTAAACCCCCCTTGTACTTAGACTTCGAGGTTATACAATTTTCGGAATACTAAGTTTATTTATTATACCTGCAACAGAGGATATACTATTGAACTAAAGAGGCAGTATGGATACTTCTGACCAAGAACACGAAGATATTGGGCGAACCCACTAGCGTTGGAGAAGTACATAAGCTGAGCAACTCTGCCTAGGCCGACTCTTGGAGTAGGTAGTCCGGCTGACATATCCTGAACGACCGACAATGGACTAATTCGACCTGGTCTTAATGAGCCTTTCTGCTATCCAAAGACGCATAGATGAAATTCACACCTGAATGGTATAAAGCATATCTTTGGCTTGAATATTCTGTTTCTACTCACAAAGTTTACTGTTTTGTCTGTCGTCATTTTACTACAGGCGCTAAATATCAAAGTGAGCAAGAATTTGTGTCTGAAGGGTTCAGTACTTGGAAAAAGTGCACGGGTGAATCTCCAAAAAACAATAAACTTTTCAAACCAAGCATTCTGATACACATTTGAATAACGTGCGCAAATATAATACTTATTTGAAATGAAAGCTTTCTGAGAAAACAGTAACGTATTGTGTTAATGAAGCTCACAAGCTGATTGTGAAAAAAAAAAAGGGAATACATCAAAATACTTGCAGATACATTGAGATTTACAGCTGTCCAAACATAGCTCAGTGGGGTTATTGTGAAGGAGACACAGAGACACAACTGAAAATAAAGGACACTGTTTGGAAATATTAAACTTCTTAAAGACTTATTCTCAGACTTTAAATTAACAACTGTGTGAAGGACGTACAATTCCAAATATAAGCACCACAGTGTACAAGATGTCATTTTGCATATCCTCAATGATATAATTTGGGACGAAATAAGAGAAGTTCAGTACTTTTCAATTTTATTCGATGAAACTAAAAACCTATCCAAAAAATAGTAGACGAGTTTAGTACTTCAGTACTTTAATGATTCAGAAGTTCATGAAGAATTTCTTGGTTTTGAAGTCGCTGATGAATTCGACACAGAATCCTTGGACTAATTTATTCTGAAGGAGCTAAAGGACAACGAGCTTGATGTCACAAACCTGATTGGTCAAGGATATGAAGGCACCGCCGCCTTGACCGGCAAGTGCTCTTGGGTTCAACAGAAAATAAAACAAGTCGTACCTTAAGCCATCTACATTCACTGTTTTGCTCATCGTCTTAATTTGGTCTTAGTAGAAAGTGTAAATTTATTACACCTGTGGCTGAATTTTACTCAATTCTTCAGGCTTGCTACATTTTTTTAAATGGTTCTCATATTCCCGCACAGTGGATTTCTTTCCAAAGAAGAAAAGACATGCACCCAAATGTAAAGCCTGTAGAATTTTAAAAATGTCAGAAACACGATGGGCTTGCCAGGTGGGTTCTGTAAGTGTGAAATTGTAGCAAGTTTTAACGGTTTTTAAAATTTCTGCGACATGTTGATGTAAGTGACAGCAATCGAGACCGTCCATTAAGTGCCCGATCCATTTTGGCGCAACTTCACCATATATTCATATTGTTACGACAACGCAGGTCACGTGACGCTTGTATCACGCCACTTCTTTCTCGAACCTTCATGAAATATCGGGAGTTTACTAGATCTCGGTATTCTTTTATGTATAAGACGGTCACAACGTGACGGGAATAATGAATGAGTAATTGAATGTATGCGGACAGAATATTGTTGAGCACGTGAGACATCGTTGTAAGTTATAGCGTTAGTTATACCGCGACTGTTGAAATTAAGTGTATCGCAAAGTTGTATTCAGAAAGAATAAACCAGTTTTATTTAAGAAAGGTCTTGTATCGGTAAAGTTTCTTCGGTAAGAATTTTTATATTTCCGAAGTTCTTGAAGGTGAGTTTTTGAAATTTGACTTAAAGTTTAATATAAATGATCATGTTTAATTCATGAAGGTGGCCTAGTGTTTAGGGTACTCGACTCGCAATCTGAAGCACGTGGGGTTCGAATCCCGTCCCTGAACATGCTCGTCCTTTCAGCAGTAGGGGCTTTATAATGTAATGGTCAATCTCACTATTTGTTGGTAAAAAGTAGCCAAATAGTTAGCAGTGGGTGGTGTTGACTAGCTGCCTTACCTCTAGTCTATCACTTCAAAATTAGTGACGGCTAGCGCAGATAACCCTCGAGTAGCTTTGCGCGAAATTCAAAACAAAACAAACAAACTAAGGTGGCTTAGTGGTTAGCATGCTCAGATTGCTAATTTAACTGCCGAGGGTTCATGGTTTGTAGTCCATTGAAGAATGAACGCGCTCTGCACATTGAAATCATAGGCGCATTATAAAAGTGGCAGTTAAATACCATTATTCGGTCAAACAAGATCTTAATGGTTAATGGTGGGGGCTAGTGATTTCTTCTATTCCCACCAGCCTATCATTTCAAAACTAGAAACTTCTAGGAGCAGATATCGCTTAGTGTAGATCTGTGCAAGAATTCTAAAAAATAAACTGTTTCATGGAGAATTGAATAAATTTCACCTATTTCATAATAAAACTATTTTGGTTTGTTAAATTACATAAACTTTGTACAATGTCAGCAGGGAGACAAAAGGTCGGGAAAGACTAAATGGTTAGTTTGTCCGAACTGTGAATGTCTGGAGTTTATTGTTTGCTTTCTATTGTCAAAAAAAAAAAACGCTCTCACTATAAGAGGGATTGTCAAATCCCGCTATTCTATCAGACTCAAAAACTGGAAGCACGTTCTGTTCACTTTCTGCCTTTCCTCTACGTTATAGTTTCGAAATTGTGGATGGCTATGAGTTTAGTCTTGGAGAAATATTTTGACAAAAAACGGAAAAAAAACACGAACAATTGATTGCTTGCACATCTATTAACGAAAAATTAAAATAAGTGTTTGAGTTTGCATTACTGCTTGACAAGAATTTTCTGTCTCCACATAAGAATACCCCAGCAGTTACTTAACAATACTGTTATCATGTATATTGTGAATTTGACGGGAAAAGCAGACAAAATAAACTATAAATAGAAAAATACAATTAAACTGGTGTTATAACATAGGCCGCGGTATGCTAGAAGACTTATAATGTTAAAATTCGTGGCTTAATTCCTATAGTAGGCACAGCACAGCAGGAGTAGGTTTTAAAAAATGAAAAGGTTTTTCCTGGCTTGGATAGTCATTGATTTTTACTATCCATGGAAGGATATTTCCAGTATTTTATGTTACAACGTACTATTATTAGTCATTGGCGAATTTAGAGCCTCATACCAAAATGTCAATAGTTTTAGCAAATTAAATATTCTTGTAGTATCCTCAGACAAAATTGGGCCAATAAACTAACTACTAAGACATCAGAAGTGAGTGATTCTGAGAATATATATATGTAGAGATTTAATAACTTAAAAAATGGCCAAAAGAAAATAAATATAAGACAGTTATTTAACTTTGAAACCAAAGCACTATTTTAGTGAACGAGAGCTGTGAAAATTGACTATTTCTGAGTATGGCTGTCTTCTCAGTAATAGCATTAAGACATAACTTACAGGGTGAATCTGAACATTTCACTACACGAGCTTTAAGATAATTCTGACTAGTTAATTAAATGAACACCACAGTTCTTCTAATCAAGAGATAACTTTGCTTGAGACTATATTCATTCCTAAGCTTCACCATTTCTGACTCCATACGTGGCTACTATTTTACCCAAGTTAATCAATGATAGATCGACACAGGTACCACGAGAAAAGATTCTTATTGATCTTCTGTTGAGTTTACGCAGCTTAACAATAAGATTAATACAAATCAAAGCTGAAATGTCCTGTTGTGAGAAAACGTGTAACTAAGTACATATTCTGTAGTGGGATTGAAAAATAAAATTATTTATTTACCTAAATTATTAAAGAGCTGCAGCTATAATATTTACATTCATCCTGTATCGCATTTTGTAGTTGCCCCCCAGTGGGACAGCGGTATGTCTGCGGACATATAACGCTAGAAACCAGGTTTCGATACCCGTGGTGGGCAGAGCACAGAAAGCCCATTGTGTAGCTTTGTGCTTAACTTCAAACA